GAAAGCTAGGGAGACGGTTTTTTAAACTAACTAAAGATACAAATAGTAATAATTTGAAACATGAGACAAAATAATGAAAGAAATATCGATCTGATCTCATGCACACGATTTTACGATCTGAAGTTCACCCACATAGCTATAGACTTCTCATCAATGAGCCATGACACACAGTAGATACATAAAGGATCATCCTGTATACTTCTAAGATCATCAATGTCGAAAGTTTCATATTTTAAAATACGTAACGAAAGATAGGACATCTCAAGTTCCTACGTGACAAAGGAAAAAATCATTTTTAACCAACGACCGAAAAAAAAAAAAACCTATCCGTCAGATCAGGTTAAACGACAGATTAAATACCCATGTTGACATGTAGATAAACATACCAGACCCTGAGGTAGCTTATTTATCTTCCATGAGGGATCTATGAAGCTGCAGCATTTCTGATTCCAGTATCATGTGCGTGACTTGTCTGTATGAACTATTATACGATTATTTATGGCCTCGCTTGCTGCATATAAACTCAGCAGACAATTCTGGAGCTCAAAGAGGCAGAGAGCTAGGGCCTCAGATTTCTCTTCGAACTTAAAGACAACTGGTTCAGTAACAATATATTCTTAAAATTCCTTTAAGATACACTGAGGGTTTCTGTACACAAAGATGCTGGGAGTACATAGATTTGAAAAAAATCTTGAATGACTTCCTCGGATATTTCTCTAGGAAGCGTACTTATGGTATTCGCTTTAACTCTTTATAAGACGCGAAACGATTTGAATATGCTTTTCTCTAGATACAACGAGAAGTCAGGCATTCATCTTAGAGAAGAACTTTGTTGGAGTTAAATTTATTGCAAGCACTCTTCAGGTGAGGAAAGCTAGTAAAGATACACAGCATATTAAAATCGAAAGACGGGAAAATTGGGAAAAAATTTACATAAAGGGTTCATATTATTGATGTGATTTCTTTAGCTTTGTATCTCCCTCCGGTGATGAATATGTGCAACTTGTTATTATAAAGTATACTTAGATATCAATGCAACAAGCAGCAACAAAATTAATGGTCTTTGAGATCAGAGAAAGTTATCGCGTAGAGTGAAGTATCTTGATGTGAAACTAAATTTTCTTTACATGTGAGAGAAAGCAGTGAATGAAAACGGCTGAGGGATGGATGCCAGTTTCATCTCGTTCGGGACTCGGCTACATACGAACAAACCCATCTTTGTGAATCAGCATCGTTTTCATTTTAGGAAAGAGCAGATTTTATTATTCCAAAACTGATTGTATCGGAATGAGATCTAGAGCGTCATTGAATTTCGCTGGACACGTACGCTTTCCACTGCAAAAACATTTAGTGCAGAATTGGCGGGAGTTATTTACAAGAAAAAAGTTTACCGTTATTATTTTTACAAACTTTATGAAGTTGTCACGGTGCAAGCGGAAAATGAAAATTTGGGAGAACTGTAACGCCAATGAGAAGATGACCAAAAACAATTGTTTATCATATTGAACGAGGGATATATCGAGTTGATCATTTGAAGAGCAATTGCATTGGTACATTATAACTGATGGTTTGATTTCTTCCCTATCGGATGACAATTAATTATGGCAGGATGTAACATGTCCTGCTCAGAGGAGAAAAGGGATTTTGCGAATTGCGAGTGTTTCGTACTAAAAGGGAAAGAGCTAAATTTAAATTACAAAATTAATTAATCGTCACGCACAAAGATGTAAACAATTAATGATCATAAAAAATCAAACAAACAAACAAACAAACAAAAAAACAAGCACAATAACTTTCTTGAAGTAGAACAGCAATTTTGATCACGAAACTGGGCATTAGACGAGGTTAGATCTTTTATGCCCGTGAATATGTAAACTTCATTTTTTCATCGAAATTGTTGTAAAGCAAAATATTATTCTTGATATTTTCAGGCATGTAGAATTAACAAATGACAACGATTGGAGAATAGAGGGATTCAGAGGATGACAGTTTAACAGGTACAAATCAATTTTTATTCTGCAACTGATTTGAGCTGAAGAGCTCATGTTATTTATAATGAAAGATCGCAATGTTATTTTTCTTGCGGCTGACAACAATAAGTTTAATTTCGGTCGAATTTTCACGGTTTATTGTTGTCAGATGTGAAATATTTCCTTGGTTTCTCTCATTTGACTCGTGGTTAGAATAGTCAGCACGCGATGCAATTTCCCAAAGCCTTAAACTCCTAGAACTGATATAACTTGTAACTTATCCCTGTAATATCAATACATTATTCAGCAAACAAGTAATCAGAATACTCAAAGTTTTATCAGGTAGAATTCGTTATCTTTAAACTAAAACCAAATTTCAGTATCTGCTTTGAAAGGAAACATGCAGCAGCTAGAGGGGAGAATTAACAATCAGATCACGGGAGTTAAAGGTTTAACTGTAACGTGATCGTTATTCAGCAGAAGCGCGTGATGAGTATGTGACAGAGGTAGATGACGTGTTGTTTATAATTATAGCTCTCGTCAAAGTCAAAATCGGCAAATATCTCTCGAAAACAAACGAAGTTTGAAACAAAGCCCGAGGTTAATAAATGCTTACGTTTCTTTTGATATAGTTTTCGATGAAATACCAGAATTTTTTCAGTTTCCAAAACGTGACATCCTGACATCTATCCCGTTCATTATTATATTGTAAAAGATTCTTTTTTTGATCTGCAATTCGTTCACAAATTTTTTTTTCAGTATCATTTCGCTTGCAGTCTACTTCCTCCGCCAAATGATCATATTTCCTGGCGATGAATTCATTCGATGGCCTACAAAATTAAGCTATGCAGGAGTCTGTGTGTTGCGCTTGGTTTTCAATTTGTTGCAGATAGAGTTTCTTGATAACAAGAGTTTTGATGAATAGAACACTTCCACAGAAGTATTCTATGGCAGAAGGTAACCTACCAACAACGGGAGGAGAACTGGAGGTGAAAAATGAGTTTCCAGCTACAGGTGAGAAAAAGCATCAAGGAAAGACTTCTTTATGGTAATTTTGTACTGTTTGTTAATTAAGCATATCTTAATTCTGCTGCATAATTCTTGGATCACTTCGACTTGAAGGTTTTTTAAGGAATCCACAAAATACGCCAGTATTAGAACGCTAGTTGTAATTGCACATAGTTGCCATCACTAACAAAGTTGAAATATCTTCTCAATAATTTCAGCAACAGAGGAAAGTAAAGTTACGTCAAGTGATACTGAACTGGATGTATACAATGACCCTTTAAGAGGTAAGAAAACGAATGAAACGAGAATTTTTAAAAGACGTCCCAATGAAGTTTTTTGTCACATTTACATCAAAATTTGCGTATGTTCTGTAAATAAGTTTTTGAAACGGCAAAAGATTGTTTCTTCAAATAATAAACTTTGTTACTGGAAAAGTAAAAAGAACAAATGAAAAAACAATTTATTGCAAGAGCCGATCGAGCAGAATGTGTAGACATCATTAATTATTCATAAGCCATAAAGCGGCAGATTTGAACGCGATTTCGCTTTGAAGAGCCCTAAATTAGAGAAGAATGGGTCAAACTTGGCCCACTAGGCTTGGAAAACTCAGTTTTCTGAGTTTCAGAAGTGCTTATTTCTAAATCAACACATGGCGTTTTGGTCCTCTAAATATTTCACGCCTTTTCTGAAAGTTATGTTAACGCTAGGTCCAGCTGTAAACCACCAGCCAGAATACTATAATAGAACCGCTGACTTTTACAACATGGTAATATGGCACTTCGTGGGAAAGTGGTACTTTGCAAATGAAATTTCTCCAGTTAGCTTCTTCGAGTATGTTCGCAATAGACAGTTACATGTATGAGAAAAACCAAGTGATAAAAAGAAAAAAACAAAGAAAAAACATTTTTTCCTAGCGCACTTTTCTTAAGGATGGGAAAACCACGAACCCTTGTCACTCTCAGCACGATTTTTCTTTTGTTATCAAAACATTCACAAGTTTTAACCTTTTTCGGTTCTGGCTTTGCTTTCCTTCATGCAATAACTTATGGGGTTTTACTTTCTAATTTGATATTTTGGAAAACGTAACCCAGGTGTAAAAAGGTTTTTGGAAAGTCTTGCGACCTAAAAGTAAACTGAACAGACTTGATCTGATTATAACCAAGCTAGAGCTAAAAGTCTTAATAGCTTACATATTTGAAAACAAACAAAATGCGCAGATAAACTCTCCTAAAGGGCGATAATAAACAAAGTTGAGTTCAAATAGGATCTCCCGGTGAAACTTGTGATATTTTGGAAAAAAGTAAGCCAGGTGTAAAAGGGGTTCGTGAAAAACCTCTCGACCTAAATGTAAACCGTGAAACTTGAACTGGTGATAGCCAAGCTTCAGCCCTGACCACCAACAGCTTGCACACCAACAAAATGTACAGGTATTAAACTTTTCTGAAGTTTTCGTTTTTCATAGGTCTAAGCTCCTGGAAGTATAAAGTTGTAGTATGAAGTCGTATTACTCATTACTAAATCATTAACACTAAAACGTTTTGCTTTCAGGGATAGCGAAAGTATGTCTCGAGAAAGGTAACAAAGAATACAGACAAAGAGAAGCTAATAACGCGATAAACTCCTACACAGAAGGACTTCAAGTGAACTGCAAAGATAAAAGGCTCAACGCCAAGCTTTACAGCAACAGGGCAACAGCTCATTTCCGTTTGGGTAACAATTTCATTTCTAAATATATAATTCTCTCATGCAGCGTTACAAGATACCGGAATACACAATCCGCATCAAGGGAAGGAAAGAATTCGAGCAACTGCAGAAAAATAGCATAGAAAGAGATATCAACCCTTAGCAGATCAAAATTAAGCCAATAAATTTTCCTCGGAAAATGGACTGCAACTTATGCAATTGCAATTTTTTAGGCGTCTTTGCTGCAATTGCATGTGATGACCACTTTTTAAACCTTGTTTCCTGAATCTCATAGCAAACTACGTGGAATGTTTCGATGATGCAAAAGTTGCTGTCCAAATGGAAACTACTTTAATAAAGGCTATTGAGAAAGGTGGGTTTTTCAATCATAAACCATCAATATTCTTTTCTCAACTTTCGTCAAAAGAGGATTGTGTGGTTTGTAGCACGTAACTGCACCACAAGTGTCAATAGTATCTGCTGTGTCAATGTCTGTTATGTGGGTAAAAAGCAACGGCAAATGTCAATAAGCTCTCAAATACCGCCGCCTGGTTAGTTCACGTTTTAGAGCGCCGGAGGTCGAGGGTTCAAGGCCTAGACCGGAAATTCATCGTTATCATCATCAATTGAAGCTTAATTGGTGGCCGATTTGCACTAGCTCTTTATTGTTCATTTTCAGTTCTTCCTAAATTTCAAATTTTCTTCATTATCATAATTTTTTCCTAGCTAAATGACAAATTAAGTCGATTTTATTACTAAGTTTATAACTTAACAGTGATGAATAACCTTGAATCACCAGTTTTTCTCTCCTCTTTAGGAGCCAGAGCTTGTGTCGAACTTTGCTTGTATAAAGAAGCGAGGAGCTGGTTGCATATGGGATTGGCCGTATCCTTTAACGAATGTTTCATACGTGATACGAGATGCAATGCGAGTAATGTTTCCAGGAAAATCAATACGTTCCAGACAGATTCTTCTACGCATAATGCATGCGATGTTCTCTGACACTGCACTGAGCAGATAAAAGAAGCTAAAAAATTATTAAGGAGTTCTCTCGATTATTCCACGAAACTTTACTTAAAAGAAGAGGCCACATTAACTAATTTGCATAGTTTGTGCTAGAAGCCCCTCGTTTTTGTCTTCAGACCAGCGTCACCATGACAACCAAACCTAACCCAAAAGGTACGCTTCGGAGCTGGTTAACACTCTCGAATAACTTGAAATAGATCTCTACAAGAAACCCACGTTCAAATGATCATTCCATTTATTTTCAAAATACACATTTCCACCGGATTTTCGCAAATCCGCTCATGATTTATCTACCCTTGACACGTATTAAGATTGAAAACAACAACGAACTTCTGCTTCAATTCATTAATTCAATTAATAAGGAAAACTAATGCTGAACTGAGAGTCATAGCAAACAGTTATTGCAATCTCTGCAACAAAACAGCAATCGAGTGCCATCAACGTCATCTAGAAATTGCTAAAGAGGTGGGAGACGAGGCCAGAGAAGGAACAAGTTATGGCGGTCTCGGCAACGCTTATCAAGGTCTAGGACAATTCAAAACAGCAATCGAGTACCATCAACGTCATCTAGAAATTGCTAAAGAGGTGGGAGACAGGGCCGGAGAGGGAGCAAGTTATGACGGTCTCGGCAATGCTTATCGAGGTCTAGGACAGTTCAAAATAGCAATCGAGTACCATCAACGTCATCTAGAAATTGCTAAAGAGGTGGGAGACAGGGCCGGAGAGGGTGCAAGTTATGGCGGTCTCAGCAATGCTTATCGAGGTCTAGGACAGTTCAAAACAGCAATCGAGTACCATTAACGTTATCTAGAAATTTCTAAAGAGGTGGGAGACAAGGCCGGAGAGGGAACAAGTTATGGCGGTCTCGGCAACGCTTATCAAGGTCTAGGACAGTTCAAAACAGCAATGGAAAACCATCAACGTCATCTAGAAATTGCTAAAGAGGTGGGAGACAAGGCCGGAGAGGGAACAAGTTATGGCGGTCTCGGAAACGCTTATCGAGGTCTAGGACAGTTCAAAACAGCAATCGAAAACCATCAACGTCATCTAGAAATTGCTAAAAAGGTGGGAGACAAGGCCGGAGAGGGAACAAGTTATGGCGGTCTCGGCAACGCTTATCGAGGTCTAGGACAGTTCAAAACAGCAATCGAGTACCATCAACGTCATCTAGAAATTGCTAAAGAGGTGGGAGACAAGGCCGGATAGGGAGCAACTTATGGCGGTCTCGGCAATGCTTATCGAGGTCTAGGACAGTTCAAAACAGCAATTGAGTACCATCAACGTTATCTAGAAATTTCTAAAGAAGTGAAAGACAAGGCTGGAGAGGGAAGAAGCTGTGGCAATGTCGGCAACGCTTATCAAGATCTAGGACAGTTCAATACAGCAATCGAGTACCATCAACGTCACCTAGAAATTGCTAAAGAAGTGGGGGACAAGGCCGGAGAGGGAGCAAGTTATGGCGGTCTCGGCAACGCTTATCGAGGTCTAGGACAGTTCAAAACAGCAATCGAGTTCCATAAACGTCATTTAGAAATTGCTAAAGAAGTGGAAGACAAAGCCGGAGAGAGAGCAAGTTATGGCGGTCTCGGCAACGCTTATCGAGGTCTAGGACAATTCAAAACAGCAATCGAGTACCATCAACGTCACCTAAAAATTGCTAAAGAAGTGGAAGACAAGGCCGGAGAGGGAACAAGTTATGGCGGTCTTAGCAACGCTTATCAAGGTCTAGGACAATTCAAAACAGCAATCGAGTACCATCAACGTTATCTAGAAATTTCTAAAGAGGTGGGAGACAAGGCCGGAGAGAGAACAAGTTATGGCGGTCTCGGCAACGCTTATCGAGGTCTAGGACAGTTCAAAACAGCAATCGAAAACCATCAACGTCATCTAGAAATTGCTAAAGAGGTGGGAGACAAGGCCGGAGAGGGAACAAGTTATGGCGGTCTCGGCAACGCTTATCGAGGTCTAGGACAGTTCAAAACAGCAATCGAACACCATCAACGTCATTTAGAAATTATTAAAGAGGTGGGAGACAAGGCCGGAGAGGGAGCAACTTATGGCGGTCTCGGCAATGCTTATCGAGGTCTAGGACAGTTCAAAACAGCAATTGAGTACCATCAACGTTATCTAGAAATTTCTAAAGAAGTGAAAGACAAGGCTGGAGAGGGAAGAAGCTGTGGCAATGTCGGCAACGCTTATCAAGGTCTAGGACAGTTTAAAACAGCAATCGAGTACCATCAACGTCACCTAGAAATTGCTAAAGAAGTGGGGGACAAGGCCGGAGAGGGAGCAACTTATGGCGGTCTCGGCAACGCTTATCGAGGTCTAGGACAGTTCAAAACAGCAATCGAGTTCCATAAACGTCATTTAGAAATAGCTAAAGAAGTGGAAGACAAAGCCGGAGAGGGAGAAAGTTATGGCGGTCTCGGCAACGCTTATCGAGGTCTAGGACAATTCAAAACAGCAATCGAGTACCATCAACGTCACCTAAGAATTGCTAAAGAAGTGGGAGACAAGGCCGGATAGGGAGCAAGTTATGGCGGTCTTGGCAACGCTTATCAAGGTCGAGGACAATTCAAAACAGCAATCGAGTACCATCAACGTCATCTAGAAATTGCTAAAGAAGTGGAAGACAAGGCCGGAGAGGGAAAAAGTTATGGCAATCTCGGCAACGCTTATCGTGGTCTAGGACAGTTCAAAACAGCAATCGAGTACCATCAACGTGATCTAGGAATTGCTAAAGAAGTGGGAGACAAGGCTGGAGAGGGAGTAAGTTATTGCGGTCTCGGCAATGCTTATAAAAATCTAGGACAGTTCAAAACAGCAATCGAGTACCATCAACGTCACCTAGAAATTGCTAGAGAAGTGGGAGACAAGGACCGAGAGGGGGCAAGTTATAGCGGTCTCGGCAACGCTTATCGAGGTCTAGGGCAGTTTAAAACAGCAATAGAGTACCATCAACGTTGTCTAGAAATTGCTAAGGAAGTGGAAGACAAGGCCGGAGAGGGAGCAAGTTATTGCGGTCTTGGCAACGCTTGTAACCATCTAGGACAGTTCAAAACAGCAATCGAGTACCATCAACGTCATCTAGAAATTGCTAAAGAAGTGGAAGACAAGGCCGACGAGGGAAAAAGTTATGGCAATCTCGGCAACGCTTATCAAGGTATAGGACAGTTCAAAATAGCAATCGAGTACCATCAACGTGATCTAGAAATTGCTAAAGAAGTGGAAGACAAAGCCGGAGAGGGAGCAAGTTATGGCGGTCTCGGCAACGCTTATCGAGGTCTAGGACAATTCAAAACAGCAATCGAGCACCATCAACGTCACCTAAGAATTGCTAAAGAAGTGGGGGACAAGGCCGGAGAGGGAGCAAGTTATTGCGGTCTTGGCAACGCTTGTGACCGTCTAGGACAGTTCAAAACAGCAATCGAGTACCATCAACGTCATCTAGAAATTGCTAAAGAAGTGGAAGACAAGGCCGGAGAGGGAAAAAGTTATGGCAATCTCGGCAACGCTTATCGTGGTCTAGGACAGTTCAAAACAGCAATCGAGTACCATCAACGTCATCTAGAAATTGCTAAAGAAGTGGGAGACAAGGCTGGAGAGGGAGCAAGTTATTGCGGTCTCGGCAATGCTTATCAAGGTCTAGGACAGTTCAAAACAGCAATCGAGTACCATCAACGTCACCTAGAAATTGCTAGAGAAGTGGGAGACAAGGCCGGAGAGGGGGCAAGTTATAGCGGTCTCGGCAACGCTTATCGAGGTCAAGGGTAGTTTTAAATAGCAATAGAGTACCATCAAAGTTGTCTAGAAATTGCTAAGGATGTGGAAGACAAGGCTGGAGAAGGAGCAAGTTATTGCGGTCTTGGCAACGCTCATAACAGTCTAGGACAGTTCCAAACAGCAATCGAGTACCATCAACGTCATCTAGAAATTGCTAAAGAAGTGGAAGACAAGGCCGGAGAGGGAAAAAGTTATGGCAATCTCGGCAACGCTTATCAAGGTCTAGGAAAGTTCGAAATAGCAATCGAGTACCATCAACGTAGTCTAGAAGTTGCTAAAGAAGTGGGTGACAAGGCCGGAGAGGGAGCAAGTTATTGCGGTCTTGGCATTGCTTATAACAGTCTAGGACAGTTTAAAACAGCAATCGAGTACCATCAACGTAGTCTAGAAGTTGCTAAAGAAGTGGAAGACAAGGCCGGATAGGGAGCAAGTTATTGCAGTCTCGGTTACGCTTATCATGGTCTAGGACAGTTCAAAACAGCAATCGAGTACCATCAACGTAGTCTAGAAGTTGCTAAAGAAGTGGGTGACAAGGCCGGAGAGGGAGCAAGTTATTGCGGTCTTGGCATTGCTTATAACAGTCTAGGACAGTTTAAAACAGCAATCGAGTACCATCAACGTAGTCTAGAAGTTGCTAAAGAAGTGGAAGACAAGGCCGGAGAGGGAGCAAGTTATTGCAGTCTCGGTTACGCTTATCATGGTCTAGGACAGTTCAAAACAGCAATCGAATACCATCAACGTCATCTAGAAATTGCTAAAGAAGTGGAAGACAAGGCCGGAGAGAGAGCAAGTTATTGCGGTCTTGGCAACGTTTGTAACAGTTTGGGACAGTTCAAAACAGCAATCGAGTACCATCAACGTTATCTAGAAATTGCTAAAGAAATTGAAGACAAGGCCGGAGAGGGAGCAAGTTATTGCGGTCTGGGCAACGCTTATCAAAGTTTAGGACAGTTCAAAATAGCAATCGGGTACTATCAACGTAGTCTAGAAGTTGCTAAAGAAGTGGGTGACAAGGCCGGAGAGGGAGCAAGTTATTGCGGTCTTGGCATTGCTTATAACAGACTAGACAGTTTAAAACAGCAATCGAGTACCATCAACGTTGTCTAGAAGTTGTTAAAGAAGTGGATGACAAGGCCGGAGAGGGAGCAAGTTATTACGGTCTTGGCAATGCTTATCAAGGTCTAAGACAGTTCAAAACAGCAATCGAGTACCATCAACGTCATCTAGAAATTGTCAAGGAAGTGGGTGACAAGGCCGGAGAGGGAAAAAGTTATTGCCTTCTCGGCAGGATTCATAGCGGGCAAAGAGAGTTGAAAACGGCAATCGAGTGTTATCAACGTCACCTAGAAATATCCAAAGAAGTGGGAGACAAGACTGGAGAAGCGTGCTCACTCTGTCTTCTTGGAAGCAGTTTTGAGTGTCAAGGAAATCATATGATGGCCTTTGACTGTTATCACTCGAGTGTAGAGTTGTATGATGATATCAGGGCCAGTCTTCAACTCAACGATCAGTGGAAGATTTGTTATCGTAATCAGCACCAAAGTGCATACAAGGCTTATGGCGTTTAAATCTCAATCAATCAGTTGCAAAGGCTCTTCTTGCTGCAGAGAAAGGACGTGCTCAAGCTCTGAGAGATCTCATGGCCGCAAAATATAAGCCTGGAGATTCTTTAACGTACAGCGCATCATGCGTTTCTCTGAGGTGGGTTCCACTGAGCACAGTTTTCATAGCCATTAATGGACCATGCATTTACTTCTGGGTTTGCCTCAGTGAAGATAATATCCAGATGAGAGAGGTACACGTCAACAATTATAAGTTTGAGGATGAATTGGAATTTTTCATCCAGTTACTGAACAAAACTGCTCTTATGGAGATCGGTGCAAGAGATACTGTTACAATCGAAAATCCTCCGCTTGATTCGCCGACAGAAGAGGAAGTGGCCAATGATATGATCCAAGTTGATGTGAGGTACTGCCAATCAAGTGCTTTAAAGAAGCTGCATGACATCATCGTTACTCCTATTGCTGATCTGATCGAAGGCAACGAGTTAACATTCGTTCCTGAAGGGCCATTTTGCCTTGTACCTTTTGCAGCATTGCAGGACTCGAACTCATCATATCTAAGTGATTCTTTCAGAATTCGTGTGCTTCCCTCTCTGACAACGTTGCAACTAATTCATGATTGTCCAGCTGACTTTCACATGAAGACTGATGCATTGCTTGTCGGCGACCCATGTTTCAAACATATCATCTATGAGGGAAGACGTTTGGTACAGCTTCCTGGAGCAAGGAAAGAAGTGGAGATGATCGGACGTATGCTTAATATCTCCCTCCTCATTGGAGAAATGGCGACAAAACATGAAGTGTTAAAACGAATATCATCAGTGGCGTTAGTTCACATTGCAGCGCACGGTAAAATGGAAACTGGAGAAGTTATCCTGGCACCAAACACCACAAGAGAAAACCCTCAGCCGCAAGAGAAAGACTATCTACTGACGATGAAAGATGTAACAGAGGCTGGGTTACGAGCGCGTCTGGTTGTACTTAGCTGCTGTCACACTGCTCGTGGGGAGGTCATGGCCGAGGGTGTGGTCGGCATGGCGCGTGCACTTTTGGGTGCCGGTGCTAGATCTGTTGTGGTAACCTTGTGGGCGATTGGCGACGAGGGAACCCTGGAGTTCATGAGTTTCCTCTACGATGCACTTGCCAAAGGCAAGAAGGCAAGTGAAGCTCTCCATCAGGCCATGAAGTGTATGAAAGAAATTGAAAAGTTCAAGGAGGTGATTTACTGGGCACCATTTGTACTCATTGGTGAGGACGTCAACCTCGATTTCAAGGATATTCGAAGCTGAAGCAAGTAAATCTTCTGTTTATACATTCTATTCAATGCAAAGTTACATTAAATCATAATTATTTCTTATATGTGAGCACTGATACTTGCGTGTTATATTCCTTTCAGTTGAGTTACGAACTCAATTTTTTGCTCCGGCAAATTGAAACACAGTACAAACAAGTGGACACGTTTACGACGATAACATTCTTTTTAGGAAACATGATAGGAGTAAAAAGGCAAATTTCTTTGAAAACAATCCTGTTGTGCAATGTACCCTTTTAATGTGCTACGAAATATTTCATGGCAACTCAGCTATCCTCCTTAAACTTAGATTCTTTAATTTTTCAGTTGAGGCAGTGAGCATTGGATTCCCAGGAAGTTTCCGGATACCTTCAAACGCTGATATTTGGACCAGAAACCAGTAAGCTACAGATGAAATCTTTTTCAAGAGTCTTCTTTTCAAAGTAGGAAGAACCGAAAGACGGCCAAAGTCAAGTTTAACAAGAGAACGTATTTCCTTTGATTCAAAAGTTGACTTTTTACATGTCTGAACTGTTTTTAAGAGCTTGATCTTTGTTGTCCTGCTGAAACTACTGTTTTTTTCATACGTCTTGAAATTATCATGACTAGCTATGTAAAAAGTTATTTTTAATCTAAGTATTACCTACCAAGCGGATTTGGGCGTTGCATTGACGTCGAAGTTGAAACGTCTTGAAACGTTTTCCAGAGTTTTTCTTAGACTTTTTCTCAATCGCTTTTTTTCTCATGAGTGATGTAAAGCTGTTACAGCCATGTGAGTGTATGGAGAATTTATATGGAAATTGGAGAATAATCAGTTGTCCGATTGCTCCATTATCTAAGTTTACGCCTGATGGGAATTGTGATTAACTTTTCAAGGATTTGTACGCGGTCAATGGAATTCGGTTTATCTGGACTTAAAATGACAGATTTTGGCCGTAAAGGCCAGGATTTAGTCTTGGTATTTGTTAGTATTCTGAGATTTCTCCTTTAATTTTAAATGCAATAAATTGTGTTATTTTTACAGGCATAACGATTCATTTTAAGTATATTGTTTGAATTAATCGCCCAAAGGCAAAACGAGAAGTTTATTTTAATTTTAGTTACTTGGCCAACAGAGTATTGAAAGAAACTCAGATCGAGCTAGAAAGTTGGAGCCAAATGATTTTATTTAGTTTTAAGGATTTTTACCCGGTCAATGGAATTTGGTTTATCTGGACTTAACATGACAGATTTTGGCTGTAAAGGGTAGGATTTAGTCTAGGTATTTGTTAGTATTCTAAGATTTCTCATTTAATTTTAAATGCAATAAATTGTGTTATTTTTACAAGCATAACGATTCATTTTAAGTATATTGTTCGAATTAATCGTCCAAAGGCAAAACGAGAAGTTTTAATTTTAATTTTAGTTACTGGCCAACAGAGCATTGAAAGAAACTCAGAACGAGCTAGAAAGTTGGAGCCAAATGATTTTATTAAGTTTCTCCGATTGGATCGTTTACCTATCATCTAAGTACAATAAACTAGCATTTGAATGTCAAACAATGAAACGAGTCGCTTGGCATTTTGTTAGAATGGAAGAGGAAATCAATAACAAAGGGAAGCAAATTTCTGCATCAACCTGAATAAGCCATTTCTTGTCGTTTGAAGTAGTGAGCGCGCCTATGTCTCATTCGCTTGATAAATTTTGCCCATTTCTTTGAATAAGTTTCTTGAATGAGAGATAAACCTCGATGTTTTCTGACTCTATAACTGCTAATATTGATCATTGTCAGCCATTTCTTAGGATGTCACGCGACGCATTCTTTAGCACGGTATGCGACAGATACGATGTTTTGTCACATCTTGTCGTTTGAAGCAGTGAGCGCACGTACGATTCATTCACTTAACCTTTCCCATTTCCTTTGATAGAGTTATCAAATGAGATATAAACTTCAATATTTTCAGATTTTATATCTGCTAGTTTCATTGGCAGCCGTTTGTAAGGATGTCACGCGACGCGCCTCAGCATGTAAAGCGACATGATGTTTTGTCATATATCATTGAAGAGGCAAGGAAAAAGAAATTACCTATGGCTTTGGGAGATGGTGCTTCATTCTGTTTATAGGAAGCGTCCTCATCATGGGAGGTACCCTAGGTAGGTGTGGTTTCTCGAGTGCAGAAAATATTGATGTAATTTTTTCCACGACGGCCCACCATCCAAACTTAATTAAAACAGATAAATAAAGGGGTAAGTTTCTAAAGAAACTGTGGTGCTGCGTCGGTGGGAGAGTATAGCAGGTAATTTAGTGTTAACAACTGGGTTGAAAATGTAAATTATCCACCGTAAAGGGTAAAAAACTGACGTTTCGAGCGTTAGCCCTTCGTCAGAGCGATTAGAGGAATTGTGGGTTGTGTGTGGGTTTATATGCAGAAAGTGGAGCTACGCCATTAGTGGAAATATGGTGACGGGAAAACAGGAATAAATTAGTTGAATGAAAAGCGCTCGTTGATTCTGTGGGGATTAAGGGTGCCGATTTGGAATATAAATTTTTGTTCTAGTGTTTTACGGCTTTCCGAACTGCCTAGATGTAAGGAAAGGCCGCAAACTGCCATATGCTGTTTACAATGATTAAGAAGATTAAAGTGTCTAGCGACTGGTTTGGATGCGTCCTTGTCATTTCTTTCCACATCGCGAAGGTGTTCTCGGAAACGGTCACCCAGTCGTCTTCCTGTTTCGCCGATGTATAACTTATTGCAATAAGTGCAAGTTATGCAGTAAATAACATTGGCGGAGGTACACGTAAAGTGATCAATGATCTTAATGGATCTTTTGGGTCCCGATATTTTCTCTACGTTATGAATGAAAGGACAAGGACATTTAAAAGTTCCAGATTGGTCATTGGTTTGAAATGAACTCCTGACTAAAAAGTTGCCTATGTTTTTGTCACGTTTGAATGAAATAAGTGGGGGTTGCCAAAAGATAGTGCCAGTCTCTGAATCGTTTTGGAGTAATTTAAAATTTTTAAGAATGATAGATTTAACTGCGTGGTTGTGAGGGTGAAATGTAAGAGTAAATGGAATGCGGTCAGTGTTTTCCATCTCGACCGTTTGTAGTGCTGCCTGTCGATCGATTTGTTGGGCACGGTGGTAACACGCTTGAACGACAGAAACAGGATAGCCACGTTTATCGAAAAACTGGCACATTGCCTCTGATTTTTCGGAAAAATCAGAGTCGTCACTACATAAACGACGAAGTCTGAGAAACTGAAAAAGGTATGGAGTTCTTGACGTGTGATGGATGTGAAAATGAATACAACAAGTAACTATGTGAATCTGTTGGTTTGTAGTAAACACTAGTACATAAGCCGTTGCCTTCAATTGAAATTTTGATGTCTTGAAAAACCAAAGAAGTGTCGGAAATTTCCCAGGTATATTTAAGAGCCGGATGAAAGGAATTGACGGCGGTTATAAATTGAGTGAGCTCCTCTTTGGTAGAGGAGGTAGCGCCGCAGCAATCGTCTATGTAGCGGCCATAGAGTTCAGGTTTTGGGCCGTGGTATTGGCTAAAAAATTGATGTTCGATAAAACCTACAAAAAGATTGGCGTAGCCGGGTCCCATTTTAGTACCCATGGCCACGTCATTAGTTTGTTTGTAGTAGTTACCACCGAATGAAAAGCAATTGAGTGTGAGTAATAGTTCGGCCAGACGGAGTAGTGTTTCAGAGCTAGGTTCCTTAACAGTGCGTTGATCGAAAAAAATGTTTGAGGGCCTGGAGACCTTCGTTATTGGGAATGACAGTGTAAAGAGATGTTATATCCATGGTGAAAATAAGTTTGTTTTGGTCGAGGAAACTAAAGTCACGAAAAATTTCAAGTGCGTGTTGGCTGTCCTTAATGTAAGACGGTAAAGTTTTGACGATAGATGCCATGCTTTTGTCTAAATAGCTGGAAATAAGTTCGGTGGGACAACTGCAGGCAGAAACGATGGGTCGACCTGGGTTGTTAGGTTTGTGGATTTTAGGTAAAAAGTAAATACACGAAGTTCTAGGAGTGGTAATGATGAGATTTTTAGCAGTGGCCGGCAATTCTTGTTTAGCTGTAAGATCGTTAATCGTATTTTTGACAATGTTTTGGTTAATTAAAGTGAGATCTTTGTCGACTTTAGCATAAAAGGAGGTGTCGGAAAGTTGCCGCAAAGCTTCTTTTTGGTAGAGGTCGGCCCGCCAAACAACAACTGCACCGCCTGTGTCGGCCGCCTAAATGACAATGTCTTTGCGTTTTTTTAGACTTTTTAGTGCCGACCACTCTTCCGAAGAAAGATTGGAAAATTTGGCGTAACGATTGAATTTAAGTTTAATGATATCGTGGCGACGTTTTTTGAGGAAAAATCTAGAGATGAGAACTGGCCCTCTGGGGGAGTCCATTTAGACTTTCGAATCTGGAGTGTTTCGAAAGTATCTTTATTCGAGGTGTTAGGATCATCCTCTTTGTGATGAAAAAAGAGCCGATATTTTCTTAATTAAAACAGCCTGTGACAAAAAGAGCCGATATTTTCTTAAAACTGAGGAAAGGCCGCATGGAGGTGGCCTTCTTTGTCTTTTCCTTGGTCCATTTGTAGACATCTCTCAAGTGACGTGGGAGGTGAATCAATTTTGATTTACAACCTTTTAACGGGTAGCAGCGCGAAACACTCCTAACTCGCTTTTTTACCACTGTACCATCATGTCATGAACGGAATTTAGTCTTCAATTGTTTTGTGAAAAATATGTTCCATATTGAAAGAAAAAAATTAACCTTCCGTTTGTAATTTTGATTAAAAAGACAAATGGAAATCATGTATTCACTCAATTTGGCGATCAGTATGAACTGCTTAGATGTATAAACCATTTGAATTTAAAAATCGGATAGTTTTTCGAGAGGCAAGTGTTCTACCTCCGAGTAGCCTGTTCCAGGCTCTCAAATAGTCGCGAGCGAGGGCTGGAACAAAGAGCTTCTTTTTGGAAGTGATTTCAATAATTTCCAGCATGTCACACCTCACAGTTTATAAGTTGCATGAGGCTGTTCCAGAATTATGTACCTTCTTGCCAACAACCCATTTCCCACCCCACCCCCCACCCCCCACCCTTACCTACTCCCTTCGGGTATGACCCATAAGATTAAATAGTGATTCATGTAAATCAGAAAGTATCTTACTTTTTTAACTACTGAAAACATGTTTACTGGTAAAATGAAGTCTTTGCAACCAACCGCGTAATTGGGATTTGATATGCGATGAACACTACCAAAGAGCACTGATCCGGTTAGCGCACTTTGTATGCTACATTGGACGAATTCATTTCTTTACGGCGTCTAGGAAGATGGATTTTCCTTAACTATCCACTTACAATGAAACTATCTTCTTCAGTTTATGTTTAAAGATGTGAAGTTTATCAAAGGGCTTCGAAAGATAAGAAACTTTTAAATTTAAAGTTTAGTTTCGAAAAAGGGCATTTATGTAACACGGCACATAAAATCAATCGCTGCTTTTTGAAATGACATAATTTAAAAAAGAAAAAACAGTTTCTTGAAACTTTTTTTGGTCAATATAATGCAAAAACACGGTATTGCACGCAGGTATAGTTTTAATCGCTAAAGCTGTGCCTGAGACACGAAATAAGCTTTGCTGCTCAAAAGTCGCATTTTGTAATTTTACGTCGTTTCGTAGACCTGACAAGTCGATGACAAACCATACAGTCCGAGGTCATTTCTTTAGCTTGCATTTTCTGGGAAGAGGCTAACTAGTGGATAGTGAGGGAACGACCAAAACATGCTAAATGAAATGGATACCCAGCAAACCACGCAAAATTTGGCTTTCAGGGCAATAAAATTATGATTCCACGGCATAGGGCATTTACCCTTAAACGCGTTCTAAAATGGAAAATAAATTGAAAATATACTGCTGCGCTCTAAAATTCTTTATTATTATAAAACAGCCGACAGACATTCATGCCAAATTAACAAATCGCTGAAGTAATCATTTCTGAATAAGATATCCTCGAGAGACTTGAGGTTGCCAAAAGTGCCCTACTTTCAATCTGCAGAGAGACAGAGGGAGATGGGGAGAGTAAATTCTTGCAAAGTTATTCGTTGAAATGATCTGAAGGATTGCGCCTTTCATTTCTATCACCGACCAGTAGTAAGACAGTTAGTTAGTTACCTCATGATTCAATATGTAGTCCATGAGTTTGTTTCTGAAGTTCTCCTACAGACGAAGATAAATAAGATTAAGAAAATGAACACTGAGAATTGAAACAGAAAATGTACGCAACACTGAGAATATGAAACTTACCTTGCAAAAATGGTTCATAGGACGCCGCTCGTACTTTTTAGGGGTTCCTGTTGCAGCTGCTATGGCAACCAAGATTAGAACGGTGATCAAAAAAGGTTTCATTGCGTCTGGAAGCGAAAGGAGACACATGGATTATTAACAGAAAGTGGACAAAAATTGTAGGAACTTGAAAAACAGAATTGACCAATGAAAAATTGAAGAAGCCAAAGGATAAAAAACCCCAAGAATTTAAGCAGACAGTTTTACCGCTCCTAGTTCCGCCTCTCGTTTTCGCTACTCTGCAATACCTGTACTTTTGTCTAACGCCCAAAATCGGCAACTTAGTAGAATACCTCCCTAACAGAATACCTTAACTGCCAAAAGTAATGAACGGAAAAATAACAGCGTTGTGTAATTTTCCCGATCCCATTCGCAGTGATAGATTTTTCCTTTCAAATCAGTGTATGACATCGGTCTTATGGGAGACGGCTGGAATCGGCATCGAAACATCTGCAATTTTTTCGAAAATGTTTGTCACATATTTCATGTTTAACGCTAAGAAAGGACATTTGAATCGATTTGCAATTTGAAACTAGATGATCGGAGTAAGGTGGCTTGAACCTAAGATGAAAATATTTGCATTTTCAATATTGAAATATTTTCTTCTTAAAGATTATAATTTAAAAAAACTGAAAAGGCATGGACTTTCGGTGCGATGAATACAACTGGTAACTCATTGTTTCAACTGAAACGAAACTAATCACTTCAAAAGATGAAAAATTGGTGTGAACCAAGAGTCACACGATGGGCACAATCAGAAAGGTCGCTTTTGCATGTGGAGTGATTCACGTTCAAATGTTTGTTCCCTGCTCACGCCATAAAGTAATATTTTGTTACCTGAGGATGAGCCCACCTCTCTGAGGAGGTCAACAGAAATTGCGCTCTAAAAGTAATTTGTTACAGGTTGAATGAAAGCGTTAAACATTATCTATAATAACATCATTTGACATGCAGATCACTTCAGGTTAACAATTTAGCTTTCCGGCCATACTTTGCATCATTGAATTTGAAGTATGTGCCCCTATTGAGTTTAACCAACAAGGCTTAGTAATGCCTCATAAATAACTGCTCTTGGGGATAGTTTCCGAACTTTTATCTTCTAAGCTTGATGCTGACAAGAAGTTGGCAGTTGATACCGTCCTTCAAGGGACATTCATCTTCTCTGGAATTCTTAGACAATTTTGGAATTTTTCAAACATTCGAGTCTAACTGAATATGCTCACAATACTTATAATCAGGCATAAATACAAACCTATCAAGTTTTTTCATCAAAACTTTCAAGTGTAAAGGATGGCCAAAGCTATTTGTAAATTTACACAGCTTTTTTGATGTATGTCTTACTATTGGTAAATTTGGAACGTTACGTAAAACCGTGACTTTCGAGTAAACAATCCATAAAAATGTATTTACGAGTTTTTGGAAGTTTACTTTGACACAGATTTTGGATTCGAGCTTGGATTGCTTAATGCAAAGAGGCATTATTGATGGATTGATTTATATCATGGAAAGCTCGAGATCTTCCCAATAGGTGTTCATATTCCGCTTTTTGAGGCTTAAAGTCAAATTCTTATCTCAAGTATGCGATGATTACTTTCATGTGCGGTCATTGGACAAGAGATGTGAGATTTTCCTATTTCAGGTGAAATTTACGTGGATTCCCTTGTCCGCAGACTTTCTTGATGAGTGAAAGCGTCATCATCTTCATGCTTTTAAAGTTTCAAAATTGACGCTCACTTTGTTTTTCGGCTCAGTCATCGAAACATATAGACCATTAAAAAAAAGAAAATACAAGATAAAAAGCATACAATTGCAGACAAAGGCCAAATATTTTTACGTGACTAAGTTTTACAAAGGGGCATAGAGAACCTGCTTGCAGGCTGAACAGATGGTGTTAACACTTTTCTCCCTAACATCAGTGTGCATATTCTCCACACAACTTTCTAGACATTTCCAAGGGTTCTCACAAGGAGAATTTATTCACCAATCAAGAACTTTTTTAATTGGTGACCATCTTCTTTATTCTCATGACCTTAATGTTTGATTCAGGGGAGTTATTGCATGGAGAAATTAGATGTCAGTCAGTCTTAAGGATGAAAGGGCTAAATGGCTTGTAACTGGCCTCTATTGAAATCCCAGGATGTGGTTTGAATGTACAGTAACATTTTAATGTGACCTTTTCTCACCGACAGATTAGTTTACAAGTGGTTTTTTACTTGTGCACAAAGTAACCTATCTTAATGGCATCCTCGTCTCGGAGAGGCGATGGTCAGCGCATCAGTGTTGGTGGGCTCTTGAGTGGCTCAAAAGCCCGATTCTTGAGTGGCAATCTTTGTTGCAGCTGGAACAGATGTAATTGGTGGCCTCTTGATCTGATCTTTGACGTTTCTTTCTCGTCCCCCTCTTGATAGTCGCCTCGGCCCTGGCCTTCATCTCAGCCCTGTGAGCCCCGTCCTTCACACCCCGACGCCAGGCTTCCCGGTCTGTCGCAAGGATCTCCCAGGTGTTGGGGATGATTTCAGTGAGTTGCAGGTCACGCTTGCAAACGTCCTTGAAGCGAAGGAGTGGTCGGCCCGTGCGTCGGACGCCCTCTCGCAGTACCCCATAAAGGATTTGTCTTGGCAAGCGACCGGGGTCCATACGGTGTACATGGCCAAGCCACCGTAAGCGTCTTTGGATGAGTAGTGTAGAGATGCTAGGCATGTCGGCTCGCCCAAGGACCTCGGTGTTGGGGACTCTGTCCTGCCATTTGATCAGGAGAAGACGCCGAAGGCAGCGGAGGTGGAACCCGTTGAGCCGCTTCTCTTGTCTGGCGTATGTGGGCCATGACTCGCTACCATAGAGGAGTGTGGAAAGGACACAAGATTGGTAGACTTGCAGTTTGGTCCTCACGCTCAGCAGGTCATTGTTCCACACTCTTTTGTTGAGTTTGGCCATTACTCCCGCTGCCTTGGCAATCCTTGAGCTGATCTCGACGTCTAGTGATGCCTTGTTTGATACTGTGGACCCTAGGTAAGTAAAAGAGTCCACCACCTCCAGTTCAGTATTGTCGATTGTAATGACGGGAGGTGTCAGTGCATCTTGGGCAAGGATGTTCGTCTTCTTTAGGCTGATGGTAAGGCCGAACTCTTTGCAGGCGTGAGACAGCTTATCGACTAAGCGTTGGAGGCCTGCCTCGCTGTGAGATGCCAGGGCAGCATCATCTGCGAACAGCAGCTCGCGGATGAGCACCTCAAAGGTCTTCGTTTTGGCGCGGAGCCTGGCAATGTTGAAGAGCTTGCCGTCTGCCCTTGTCCGAATGTATACACCGTCCGAGGAATCGGCAAAGGCATACTGGAGTAACATCGAGAAGAAAATCCCGAACAGAGTTGGTGCCAGAACACAGCCCTGTTTTACTCCACTTCTGACTGGGAAAGCATCCGAGGTGGCTCCATCAAAGCAGACGGTGCTCTGCATGTCCTCGTGGAAGGCGGCGATGTAACCTATGGCCTGGGAATATTAGGTTACGCGATTGTTTGTATGACCATGCTAGGAATGAATCTGATGTTTACAATTAGGCCTGATACAGCAATGGAGTTTGGAGTGACAGCGATATTAAATGGACTTATTTTGGAGTTCTTGGCAGAGATTTTGCGGAGATTTGTGCTGAAAAAATTACACCAAAACTAGGAGTAAGTTTGAGGCTATGATTATTTTACCTTTTTTAGATCCTAATTTCTTGTTTTGGTATGCTGTTTTCGGAGAATTGCATTGCGCCAGTAAAGAAAAAAAAATTCAGCGTACTCGCAGGCTAAACAGACATTGGGAAGAGGTCTTATTACGAGCGGTACGTCGACGGCTACAGGCGTCTTTTGAAACCGATGTAGAAAGGAGAAGAAGGTCTCGCTTGATCTTCATGTATTAAATCATTTATGGTTTACTTGAAATTAAGATTAGCACTTTTTTCAAAATTTTAGTAAGGAGACCCGTATCAGGAGCAGCCATAGGCTTAAGCTTCTTGAAGCTCACTGTTAGAAAGACACGTTCAAATTTTCTTTATTCCCAAGAACTGCTAGACACTGGAATCAGCTCCTCCCTGATATGCTTGATATTACGTCTGTTGCCGAATTTAAGAACTACCCTAGTTCATTAGCTTAATAAGAGCGTGTCGAGCGTGTCGGGCGTGTCGAGCGTGTCAATTTGTATTGTGAACTCTTTATTCTGTATTGTACTTATTGTAGCTTTTAATTTTTTGCATTTTGTAAGTGGTTGGTGTGTTGCCTAACCGGCTTTTATCGACCTAAATGAGATGATTGATTGATGTTGAAGAGAGGGGTTATTTAAAAGATATACGAGCTGTAGGAGCACGTACAGTACATGCACTTGCCATTTGATCACAAACTAGAAATATAATGTAAATATATGGTAAATTGGTATAATTGATATAACTCGCTTCGTGGTTTTGTTTGTTACGCAAGTAAAGGTGGCCTTCCAAGCAGAAGTCTGGAGTCTAATATTTGTGTAGTGTGCGGCCAGGAGCTTGTGTTGCGTAGTGATGAGGATGAGGACGATGAGCCTGAGAAAACTTATAAACTTACATGTGGTCATCTGCACCCTTACCGATTGTCTTATAAAATCTTGTGATGCTGTTTTGCGTAATGCGTTGATCAGTTCAAAGCTTCAACATACCCCTCCCCCCCACCCCCCGACGACCGCCTTTGACCACTGATTTGTTAAAATTTCCCCCTCTTGAGGCAAAAATGTATTCAAATACCCCACCCTATTGTAAAGGAAAAATCAGCGGCCGTGACTTTCTAAAAACTGGCCAGGCTTTAAAACCTACACCTTGTGGATCTTTTCTTCTGAGCCAATCGCACGCGAAAGTAAACTGTTTACCTTCAGACACCTACATTAAAAGATATAACAGTTTTATTCCGCAAGAAAGGCTCGACTCATCCAGTTTAAATTTTCCTCTCGAGCCTGGCAAGGTTCAAAGTCACCCCACCCCCCTCCAAGCATAGACGACGGTTAAATAACCGTGGGTGTGTAAGGGGGGAATTGAGCCGCGCATCATTCTTGAGTGATAG